AGAGGGGGCGGGGGTGCAGAGGGGGCGGGGGTGCAGAGGAGCAAGAGGACAGAGAGCAGGACGACAGGCAGGGAAGATAACGGGCAGGAGCGGGGTTACCCTGCGTTTACTGCAGTCACAGCACCAGAGCACAGTGCCTGGCCAACGGGAGAACAGAACCTCTCCAAGCACGAGAAACAGACCAACGTGACAACATGAGGGGGTCCTGGACGACCCTCAGGACCAGGCCGCTTAGCGAGTCACCGGCCGACTGGCTAACCGTGGAACCTTGACCAGGCGCACAGCCGATCAGTAACACACGAGAGCCCAGCGGCAGCCTGGGTGTCCAGAGGACCTTCCCACTTGGCCTAGGACTGATCTGGAGGCGGTGGGCGAGGGCTGTTTGCTCAGCGACCGCCTTCCGCCCAGGTGACGGCCTGCCGTCCAGGCTCTCGAGCTGCCTAGCCCACCCGAACCCCAACCCAGGAACTCTCGAAGTTCATCACACATTTTCCCCGCAGGATTTCCAGGGGGTGAGAGGTGCGGTAAGAACAGCACCCATCTCCCCACGCATGAACTGACCCAGACCACGCAGTCCAGGCCACACCAGACATGGGCCTCTGAACAGAGAGGACAGGGAGGGGTGACTTAGAGCCTCAGGAAGACACCCGAGGTCACTCAGCGTGGACGCCTGGGTCAGACCGCACGCTCAAACTAGAGGCCAGCTCCACTGCCTGAGCCTGACCTTCACCTCTGGCCACCATGTCGCAACATCCTCCACTGAGAGGGGTGACAGTGGTCACCCGCACATCTGCTATTCTGCAAAGGGCTAGAAGCTAATGGTGCCACTCGGCGGCTGTGGCCTACAGGCACGGACGTGTGCCAATAAAACCTCTTCACAGAGCAGACAGTGGGCCTGACGCTGGGTGGAAGCTGACCCCTCCACTACAGAACGACTAAGAAGATGAAGCACAGAGCGTCCTCAGAGCACGATGACCGAGGAGAGAGCTCATCACGCCGTTATCAAGGATTCAAAACCAAGTCCACGTCCGCTGACCTGACACGCCGTACACGTCCATCAGTCCCCCCCTCAACCCGGATCGGAAAAGCACCGCCCATCGGCCACACCGTCAGGATCCGCCGAGGTGCAGCAGCCCCGAGTCGCGAACTTCGTGCTCGGAGACGGGCCCTCCCTCATCAGGAGCTGGTTCTGTCTCTAAGGCCAGCGCGCCCCAGCCTCAGCTCCCGATGCGAGGCGACACCCTCCCAGAGCATTCCATGTCACACGGCACCCATGGCTGTGAGCGTCAAGACGCTGCAGTCCAGCCCAGGCCCCAGAACCTTGCACCATGCTGCACCGGGGACCCTCGACTTCCACAGCCCTGGGTCTGTCACACAGCCCTGTCCCCGTCACGCAGCCCCGTCCCCGTCACGCAGCCCCGTCCCCGTCACGCAGCCCCGTCCCCGTCACGCAGCCCCGTCCCCGTCACACAGCCCCGTCCCCGTCACACAGCCCCGTCCCCGTCACACAGCCCTGTCTCTGTCACACGGCCCTGTGTCCGTCACAGAGCCCTTCCTCAATCACGCAGCCCCGTCCCAATCACGCAGCCCCGTCCCCGTCACACAGCTCTGCTCTCTAAAGCTCCAGGCACTAAGAAGGCAGAGTAGGCAGAGGCCCGAACGCACGATCCACTCACCAGGCACGTAGACAGAGGGGTTCTCCGACATGCCGGGCAGCGGCTGGTAGTCGTGGGGTCTGCGAATCTTCAGCGACTGGCCTTGGAAGATGATGCCATCAAAGGCCATGGCCTGGGTGGTCTCGTCCACTGACCGGAACTGAAAGACGGAGAGGCATTTCCAGGTGTGATCAGACCTGGCACCGCCAAGCAGGACTCCTGCTCTCCCTCCCTCGAGCAAGGAGCTCCGTCCCGGGAGAGAGGCAGGCCGTGTGCCCCAGAAACGTTCCAGCCCTGGAGACGCTGGCACTGCTGCTCTGTCCTACAGGCCAGCGTGCTCGTTCAGCCTCGCCCTGGCAGGCGCAGGCAGCTGCACCCCACGCTAAGGCAACAACTGGGCGCTGACCAGCAGCCCAGAGAAAGAGCTTTGAGAGTCCAGCAGACCAGCTCAGAGAAGCGGAGGCGACAGCGTTCAGAAAGGCTTTCCTGACAAAAGGACGCCAGAGCTGACACCGAGAGCCTAGCTCCAGAACCCACGGCTGCAGGAGAAGGCGGGGCCCCTCCAGAGCCAGCTGATCCAGCTCTGCGGAAGCAAACACAAGGAGACGCACCCCTGCTCGAGAAACAGGCATGGACTCCGTGCAAGCTCCAAGGTCAGAGTGGCCCGGCCAAGGTCACCTGGGCCAGCACGGTGAAGACGGGGCTATGTGGTCAGTGGATGCCACGCAGGCCTGGACCGCTCCGGGAGCCAAGGGGCACTGGGCCCCTGCGCCCACGGCCCTCTCGCTGGTGACAAGGCGGAGAGCAGGTCACAGAGCCGGGGACAGTGCAGGAGCAAGGGCCAGTGGCACAACAGCCCCCGAGGCTCAATTCCATGACCCCGTCCCTCCTCCTCCTCCTCACACGCTGGGCTCACCTCCAAAAAGGCAAAGTTCTTGTCCTGGTTGATCTGCACAGCCAAGACTGGGTTTCCAGGGGCCTGCGTCAGCCCCCCGAGGCGCATCTGGGCGTTGAAGAAGTCCATCATGGCCTCCTGCAGAGGGAAGAGGAGACAGGGGGGGACGGGGAGGGGAGGTGGAGAGAGGAGGGGAAGGGTGAGAGAGGGAGACACAGAGGGGCGTGGGGGCGAGGGGCGAGGGCCGGGGGAGGGCGGGGGGCGGGCAGGGAGGACGGGGAGCGAGTGGAGTATGGCAGGAAGGGCGAGAGTCAGAGCAGAAACAGAAGCAGGAAAACACCAGAGATGAAGGGACGTAGTGGCCCAGATGGCACGCGGCCGGGGGGAGCAGGCAGGGCCGGTGAGGCCCCACCATCCAGGAGGAGGAAAGACACAGCATCAAACAAGGGGGAGAGAGACGGCCAGATTGAGAGAAAGACGCAGACAGGATGGGACAGGAGAGACGCAGAGACAGACGGACAGCAGGGCGGGGGGAGCAGGCAGGAGCCGGGAACCAGGGGGGAGGGGAGGGGAGACGGCACACAGACAGGACACCCGGAGGTGGGGACCAGAGAGGACGAGGAGAGAGCAGGCAAGGAGACGAGGGGGGAGGGGGAGAGAAGAGTGATGTGGAGGGACCTGGCCCTTGAGTCGGGGGCTGCTTTATCAAATGTAGCAAAGTGCAGGTTGAGAAAGTCAGAATGGACCTTACTTGCCTTCGACGATGGTAGCAAACTTTTTGTTGCTACGAGGGATCTCAGCCCCACAATATTTCACTTTAAAGAGAAATGGAAACAACTCTTTGATCTCGGGATTCTCGGGGGTGCCGTGGGAAGGGGTGGGGAGAGGGGACGGGGCGGGAAGGAGGAGGTGGGGCGATCAATCACAGAGCAGCGGCCACGGGAGGTTGGGAGGCTGGGAGGCCGTGTGGAGAGGCCGTGTGGAGAGGGCGGGCCAGGCGGCAGAGGAGGAGAGGCGTGTCAGAGAACACGGCGGGATGCGGGGATGCGTCTGTGTCTGTGTGCTGTGTCTGCGTCTCCCTCTGTCTCTGGCGGGTGGTCACCTTGTGTGTGTGTGGAGCCCTGGGCGGCGGCAGGAGGGTGGGGAGGGCAGATGGGAGGAGGGGAAGGAGGGAGGGAGAGGGCCACCCCCAGCCCGGCCCCTGGCTGGCTCAACTCCATCGGTCCGTCTGGGAGGGGGCCGGGGGGTCTTGCAGGAACAGAGTCTGACCCGTGCAGGTTGGGGGAACCAAGGGAGGAGGGGGAGGGAGAAGGGGAGTGGGGACGGCCGGGGGAGGGCAGTACCTCAGTGATGCCGAAGGGGATGTTGCCCACGTATAGACGCCGGGCCTGTCTGGTCATCTGGCTGCCAACCACGGGGACCGGCGTCGGGGTCACAGCCAGACCATCAGGGGTCATGGTGGGGAGGAGGGCGGTGGCTGGAATCTGACCTGCAGCTAGAAAGGGGTTGGACAGCCTTAGCGTGGTCCAGGGAACCCGTGCTGGCCCAGAGAGCCCCCGTCCAGCTCCTCCTGGGCCAGGGTCCCCCCCAGCCTGCTGAGCCAGGGTGGGAGTCGGCAGTCCTGTCCTGTGGCCGCTGTGACCACCCGTCCAGGCTCTCCCCTGGTCAGCCACCCCCCTGCCCCCCGCCAACGACCTACCTTGCATGGCCTTGTACTGCATAGGGGTGATGTGCTCGAAACCGGGGGGCGGCACGTCCCAGTACTTGCGGACCTTCTTCTTCTTTTCATGACGGGGGGAGCGACTGGGGAGCGGAAGGGAGCGGGGCACACTCAGTCTGACCACGCAGGACTGTGTGCCCAGGGCTCCTTCTCGGTTCACCCACCGTGATGAGCGCCGCGCTCCCCAGGAGGATACCTGGTCAGAGCTAGGGGTGCAGGAGCGCCAGGCTCTGGCAGTCAAGGGGGGGGGCAGTGCGGGACACGGGGAGGGACAGGGCAGGGTGGACAGCAAGGTGAAGGGACAGGTCAGTGTGAGGCAGGGTGGGCAGCAGGGTGAGGAGAGGGACAGATCACTGTGGGGCAGGGCGGGCAGCAGGGCAAGGTGGGCAGCGACAGATCAGGTCAGGGCGGGCAGCGGGGTGAGGGCGGGACAGGGCAGTGCGGGGCAGGGCGGGCAGCGGGGCGAGAGGCAAGGGGAGGCCAGGGCAGAGACGCTCACATCAGTCCACCGTGCTCCTCCTTAGCGCCTCTGGTCAAAGGTTTGCTGGGGGCGGGAGGGAAAGGTATGGGGAGGGGTGACTGGGGACCCTCGTTTTCCCCAAACACCACACTCCCTTCAAGGAAATGGAGCCCCTGGGGAGGGCAGGGCTGAGGTGAGCAAGCAGCAAGCAGGTCTCCCTCAGCCCTGCCCTCCCCCCACGACACCCCCAGAAGTGAGACGGCCAGGGCAGAGAAGACTGGGACGAGACCCCGTCTAAGGGGAGAAACAACACCCCTCCGATCCTTAAAGGACAGCCAGGCGGGACAGGGAAGTGGAGACATCAGCACCTAGAAGCATCCTCAGTAGGAAAACAAGCTTAAACGGGCACTGGCTGCACCCCAGAAATGCAGGACCCTGCAGCCCTGCCCAACACAAGCCTCCTACAGAGGCTAAGAACAGACGAGGGCAGAGCAGCCCCTTCCCATCTGAGTCCTCCCTTCCAGCCTGTGACCCCACACCCCCAGCACCCCATAAACCAGAGCGGGATGGCCTCCGGCGGCAGGGAAGGGAGGCCAGCACCCCGCACATACCTGCGTCGCCGCCGGTCCCGAGATGCGCTGCGCTGGTCCCGGTTGCGCCGGTCGCGGCTCCGGCTCCGGCGCTTGCGGTCTCGGCTCCGAGAGCGGCTGTGGCTGCGCTTCCGGTGCCGGTTCTCCTTGTCCCGCTCTGGGGGTGGGGCAGATGCTGAGACCCAGCTCACCCACCAGTGTCATCCCATCACCCCAGGGGGACACAAAAACCATCCCCGGCCGCTGGGACCCCAGGGAGAGCACGGGGATGCTGCCCCGCATGTCCCTGAGGGGGCAGGCCCGACAGTGCAGGACCAGAGACGGCTGGGC